ACAGACAAACAGACAGACAGACAGACAGACAGACAAAAACAGAGATAGAGACAGAGACAGAGACAAAGAAAGGAAGGAGAATTTTTAAAAATCATGACGTCCATATTTTTCAATCCATGATCAATATAACCTGAAGTTCTGGGGGTGGAACTCAGGCATTGGTAACATCTAAAACTCCCAAGGCACAATGGTGGGTCACGATTTAGACCTTTGAAGTTCCAAGAGTCAGAGGCCTGCCCTGAGTTAGCATCTACACAGAGAAGGAGCCTCCAAAGTAATCACAGTCATTAACTTATGTGGTCTTCACTGGGTTTTGTATTTATGCTTTTCATTACAAAGGTAATATAACCACACTGCATTAAAATTGGAATGCATTTTTAGAAGGAAAATAAAAAGTTACTACCATAACATAAACAATAAAAGTATTTTGGTTTATTTTCCACAAGCATTTTTGCTGCTGAGGAAGGATGACCCACTGACCATGCAACATGAGGGATGCTACTTTCATTTGACATTGAAAATGTCTTTAGGGTAATCATTTTTGATCATACCACACCAAATAGCTGCACGGTTATTGACAACCATTAGCCTATTCCAACACATATAGAGTCCTAATTTTTTTGAATTCAAATAATATTGCAAGGAACAAATTTGTTCAGAACAGTGTTTCTATACTTCAGGCCATTTACAGAAGTAGGATTATTGGATCAGGATACATCCATTCACATAGCCTTGAATGCATTCAGCCAAATTGGTTTGCAAAAAAGCTTTTACAATTTTCCTGCAGCAAGCAGGAAAAGATGCTGCTTTTGCAGCATTTGGTATTATAAATTTTTGGCATAAATTTAATATGTGAAAATATGTCAGAAATAAGCCAGAACTAACAGAAGAATAATCTTGGTTTTAACACTTACTCTGTCACTAATTTGATGCTTGGAGATAGCTGCGTCATCTTTTTGTAAAATCATTTTGTATGTTTTTTTATTTATTTGTAACAAATGCTCACCTACTGTATTCCAGGCACCATTTCCAATGGACATGAATATACCTTACAAGTTGGGTGTCATGGTTTCACTAAAGCTGCTTCTGATATTACGATAGTTCATCCCCAGTGGCTATTCAGTGTTTTGTGTCTTTCTACCAAAGACTGCCCATTAGAGTTACAGGGAGCTTTAAACCTTCCTGATGTTTGACAACTTCCCAGAACAACTCAGAATTGCTAGACATGGGATCTGGCCATTACTATTTTTTCGGAGCTCCCAAGTGATTCAAATGTGTAGACTGCATAGAAATCCACTACTTAAACCTCCAGGGCATGTTGGGGTTTGGGTTCAGAACATCGAATGCCTGGTTTTAGAATGAAAGTATACAGTTGGGGGGAAGTGTTTGTTCCTTTCCACTACAGCCTCTTGCAGGGAGTATTGTGATCTGGTCTTCTTATAACTTGCTCTCTTGGATCTTGCTCTGGTAATCCTGTTTTTTCTGTGTTAGCATTCTGTGTGTTAAATTCCAGAAATAAAGTGCCTCAGGTTGGCTAACATAACTTCAAATGAAAGAATCCAGGGTCATACTCAAAAAGGAGTACTCCCCACGTTCACTTCCACAGCCCAGTGAGGGAGTTTCCTCTCCCCTGAGACTGTGTGGCAGTGTTAGTCTCCCATACTTGTTTGGTAGATAGGACCACAGAATGAGGGGCCTTTGTGCAAATCAGATTTCTAGCAGGCTGCCTCTGTATCTGGGATTCCTGAGATGAATATAAAGAAACCCTTGCTGTCTTGATTTCTTTAGGCTGAAAGTGGCTGTAAGTCAGCTAGTCAGTTTTGTCTGGGGAAGTTTAAAACATCACTTTTAAAACTCCTTCTAACCCTAGGCCCCTAACTGTAATGGGTAACCACCTAACATGAACGATTTTGAGCATCTGTAATTACAGAAGCGAACAGCAAAGACCAGGCTAGAAAAATAAACTTTGAATTGTATCAAAGGGAATTTAATTAATCAGTTACCATCTTCTCCCAAGATTGACCTTATAGCTTTTCTAAAATTCAATATCCACGAACTTTTCTTCAAGCTGACTCTTAACTAGCCTAACACCTCAATTTTCATGTCTTGACTTAATATATTTACCCTATGTAGTCTTATCTCTAAAATGAAGCTAGTTCCATATTCTGGTAGTTCTCAACATCTTTGACTATAGCCTCAGCTTTACGCTCTTCATGCTTATGTCATGAATACTGCATCTCAATGGGCCTCTCTTTTGTCAGTCTTTTTTTTGAAAGAAGAGAATTTATGGGAGATCTGATTGCATACTTCATGTGTCTCTACCCAGTATCCTGTATATTTAGGTTAGTGGCAAAACATATACACGGTCATCAATTAGTTAAACATAGTAAAGTCAGGGATGGGCCCAACTCTTTAAGGATTTAAAAGACTTTGAAGGTGGAATAATCCCAGTGCTGACATGTGCCAGAGCCAAGGCAGGCTGAGTCATGAATGAGCCCCAAAATGTCCTCTCCCAACACTAGTCTACTCAGTTCCTCTCACCCAAAACACTTCAGTGCAAAATAACTCAACCATAATCCCTCTCCTCAGACAGCTTGTCTTCTCATGTCACTATCATGAGGGTCTCAAGTTGCTCAGTCCTGGGTTAGTGCTGGCAGAAGCTGGGTGGGGCCAAAGCCTCGCCAGCAGGCAGCTGTGAAGCTGCAGCAGGAGCCTCCACCCAAGGAGCAGCAGTGAGAAGCTAGATGGTGTGCTCAGACTGCTGCCGACACCACAGATCCCAGAGTCACTCTGTAGATGACATAGTGAGTTGGCTGAGAGTCTCACTTCCCTGTAGATGACATAGAGACTGGACTTTGCATTCTTCTCAAAGATGAATGGATTTATTGAGGGTGTGACTTATTTTTAGGGCATGCTTTTGCATCATCGCTACATTCTGATGGTGCTTTGTTCCCTTCCCAGAGTCAGTAGTTATTTTAGACACACTTTCCTCACTTTGACATGATCCCTGTCACCTCCCCAGGGGACTTTGCTGAACTCTGGGTGCAGGGATAACACAGGGTTCAGAGGGGTCAGTTTCTGACACTGCCATGCAATAATTTTGAGAAAAATGTTTTTGAATAATACACTCTCTAATTTAAACAAAGCACTCTGCTTTTCTAAGGCCATGATTCTACATGATTATTTCCCAGAATATATTTTTTCATGAATTAGAATGAGCAAAACATTTTTCCCATCAAGTTAATTTGCTTTTTTGGCAAAAGTTTACCCTCTGTAGCTATTCTCTTCCTTTTGCTATCATGATGGTTCTCATTCCACTGGACAATCTCAGAGTAAGAGTGAAGAAAAGGCATCCAACTGGTGTTTACTGGGACCTGCGCCATGCTGGGACCTGGAGCACTGGGAAACCAAGCAACCTCTTCCCCACTGTCTGTTTTGTTTTGTTGAACTTCAGTATACCTGAAAGTATGGACAGCTATTTTGAAGAGAACGAGAAACTCTACAATAGCCATTAGTGACTTCCCTATTGTCTGGTTTTGAAGACCTAAATCGCCTTCTTCATTCTGTTTGGATCAGTTTTATACTGTGTTAGTTTGTACGAATTCTCTGAATGTGAAGACATGGACAACTTTTTGGAAGAAAACAAGAGGCAATATGATAGAGGGTGAAGATCTCAGGTCATTTAGTTTGGAAACATATCTCATATTGCTTTCTTATGTCCTATTCTGTTCTGTTTTGTTGTGTTTAATGTTATCCCCTTTAAAATGAAAAAAGAAAAAAAAAGGGGGGGGGCATCCAGAAATTATACCCCATCACCCACAGGTCTTTTTTAGTTTGGACATTAAAGAGGGGCCATTTTGATCTGCATAGATCTATTTCTTCTTACAACAGCAATGTGATGTTCTCAGAGGCAATTGATCTGAGTTCTCTGGGGTTCTTTTTCCTCTTATCTAAAATAAAGGAGTGGAGCAGATATTTTCTAAGTTTCACTCACTTTTAACTTTGTTGCCTGAGAAATAACTTTTTATTAAAAATACCAGAAGAAGTTTGGGCCACCACGCATGCCATCTAGATAACAAGTATTTGTGAAAGAAAGAGTTGTGGATCAGGAATCATAGACCTTTTAGTATAAACTACCATTGGGACCTTCCTTAACTACTCCACAGCTATAGCTACCAAAACTGTGAATACATTCATGTTGATCAACAGAAGCAATGTGCTATGTCAGTGTTTAAAGATAAATTATACACAAACATCAGGGTTGCTATTATGAGAAAAGAATGCTGATAGAAATCACTTATCAGCCTATAACATTAAGAAAAAGATTGTTTTTTTTCCAATTGTAGGGCATTAAAAGATAGCCAAGAGTCACAAATAAGTTGTAATTTATCAAGGTTGTTTTCAATCTATTGTATTACTAAGAAAAACATGAGTCTTGTATAGATAAAAATGACATACACTATTCCAACTTTTGGTTTTAGTTTCTGGAGAAACCCTCCAGGGTTTTTTATCATCATTAACATAATTCACACCAAGAACAGAATAAGATTTAAAAATAAAACTTACTGGGTTAGTTCAGTGATAAAGCATTTGCCTAGCAAACTTGAAGCCCTGGATTCACTTTCTAGCACCACCAAAGATGAATGAATGAATGAATGAATGAATGAACAAATGATTAAATAAATAGAAATAAAGACAGATCTATTTATTCATATATGATCACATATATTTTTGTATTTCTTGATTTAACAATGAAATGCTCAAGAGAAACTGTAGACCTGACTGAAGTTTGACGATCTTTCATTTGGTTTTGTTTCTGAAGTACTTACTGTCTGTATGGATCATCTGGGGCAGGTGAACTATCTTGGATCTTTTCATGCATGTACTGCTTGTCTGTATAATTGGAAATAGCTTCCTGTACAAGGCCTAATGCCTTGTACAGGACCTGAGTGTCTTAATCATTGATTATACACGCATTTGTAGAAAGGAGACTGGTGAAGTACACTTAAAACCTTTATTAACTGATTTACAAAATGTACAATATTTACAACATTTAGACATTAATGTCATATTGACAAGAATGTTTAGGGGAGTCTAAAAATAAATATGTGGCACATGGATTAATATATACATCATGGCTCTTTGCACTTCAAACTGTCACCAAATGGTGAGATTTAAAGGAAAGTTTAACGTGGTAGAAAAGTCAGATAGCTGATCAGCCCTGGATCTTTTATATGAATGGCCCTTCCTTGGCTCCTTGAGGCCAGGGACAGTGAGCAAACCATTTCCTTTCAAGAGATTAAAAAAAAAAACCAAACATTCTGAAAGATGTGCAGGATGTACGCAGCACATCTGTGCCGCCTGTATTAGCACTCTGGGTGGGGAAGAAGCTGCAGACCTGAGCCCATCCCCCTGTCAGGATGGCTTTGATGTGGTCACCTTGTCTCCTATTCAAAATTGCATGCAGTACTTAGCAAATGTCACTGAAGCGTGACCATGCACAAAAATGGTACTTATAGATATATACAATATCAAATTCTTATTGTCCTGTAGCATCTTTTGATGCAATATCAACTGTCTCCTCTTTTAGCAAGAGGGATGAATAAGGATGCTATACTCTCACTTTCCAAAGAAAAGACATTATCTGGAGAGACATGCAAATGGCATCCTGCAAAAGCAGGATGAGATAAACTCCATGTGATTAGATGAACAGATTCCCATGACGTGATGCCTAGAAGTTTTCCTAGGAAGATAACTCCAGTTTCCTTTCCTTTTCAATCCTGCTTCATCTACAATAACTATATCTGAAGGCAAGAGTTTCACTTCTTGAGCTTCTTGGAGCCTCAGTACCTTCATTTGTAAGTTGTAAATACTAGTAATATTCCTTATACAGTTCTTGTAGGGATTAAATGACCTAACTATGTAAAGTGCTTAGCATAGTGCCTGGCACAGAGGAGGTGCTTAATAAAAGTCTTGGTTTCTCTCCCTCTACTCTCCCAACTCCATTTATAAGTAACAAATGAATAAGCCTACCAAACTATGAATTAAGGCTATGTAATACAATTAAGATTACTCTGAATCAGAGTAACTGATATCACTTCCTATTTGGTCCCTGAGCAGATCTCATTTCATGAGCCAGGGATAGTTCATTGTGCAGGGCAGATGGATTCTAACAACACTGTTCTCTTTATCAGCCATGGCTCCATTGAGATATACGGAAAGAATCTCTTAACCTGCACAGAAATTCTGACCAGTGATGGTTTCCTCTTGAACACTTCTGAAACTACACTTGTGAGGAAACCAGGAGCAAAACCCTTGAGGCAAACATATTACTCTTGTTCTTAATAACTTTTTTTCAACACTGGTGTTATAGATAACTTTCCACAAGCATATATTACAAGCTGTATCTCTACCACTGTTGAAAATAAGTATTCTAATTTGATCATTTTGTTCAGAATAAAGAATATTTAGAATATATTTTAGTTTCCAGTTATGCCATACAAAAATAAATACTGTTTAAAAGATTTATAAGAAAGAAGAAAAATAACTTTGGGTGCCAAAAATATAGGCAGGATGTGAAGAATTTATCTACTACTTTGAAAGCAACATCTAAAAGAAATAAAAACTTCCCACTGGGTTTCCGTACTAGTCTTACAAATACTTTTTTCCATCCTACTGTATTACGCTGTATTTCTCTGTCCATCTAGAGACAACTTAATGCAGAACTTACTCCCTAAAGTCATTAGGAATTTGAAAGAAGAAAGCTCTCCGGGCCCTCAAAATGAACTTGGACTAAATGTCACAAGCTTTCTTCCATTCCAGAAGCCTCTGTCTACATTAGTCATGCTGGAATAGAGCCCAATACCTGGAGAAAATAATACCCTGGTGTTTTGAAACTCTTTGGACACTAAGGGCCCTGGTGGAATGGAGGCTCTGATTCAGCACAGTTAGGCCACATGTCAAAGCCAATCTCCTCAGTTACATGAAGGGCTAACTATAGCTACTTTATGAATGTTTGTTTCATTAGGTTGGAAAAATCCTTCTCTAGTCATCCCTACAGAAACACCAAAATTTTACCATTGCCCTTTAATCTTCCACATGGAGCAGATAAAATATGATTCTTAGCAATGAAAGAAGAATAGGGAAATTAAATTGAGCAAACTGCTTACTATTCTTCTAAGGATTTAGCCAGAATCTCAAAGGAAATAGTTCATTCCTCTGGCATTTGAAATTTTAAAATCCTAAAACTATAAAGGAATAAACCATTGTAGCTAAGCCAGTGATTCTTTACCTTTCTCCTGAAAAAAAAATCTATATATGTCCATGTAATATATTTCTACCATCTGAAAGGATCTCAGGACCTTCTGCAGCTCATGTATGAATTCTAAATCAAGAGCCTCAGATCATAATAAATAACTATTTTTGTGGAGTGAAAACAAAGGTTTGTGGTACAGAACTCAGATTCTATATTGTGGGTAGGCTGGCTTTGATGGGATCCTGTTTCAACTTGAAATAACAACACTGAAATAATGTTTGTTCTTCATGGTAATGGTAATGCTGGCTGTGATGACACCCGTTGTGAATGCAGTGTTCCTGCATGTGTAACAACTGTCAGGCCAATGACTCATGCATGATGCTGGACCATCAAGATCCCAAGGACCACTGCTACACAGGGTCCTGCTATAATGTGAGTCTTAACCATACCCACAAGCAGGATACTATCACTGACATGCAGTGTGGGTGTCCATTTGTCTTATTTATAGGGGATGTCGTGGCAAATGTGGCATCAGTTTCATTTCGAGGGAGTGGCAGGTTACAGATGTTTCCTTCACAGCAGGAGGTGCAGACCTGAAAGAAAAGAAAAGGAGAAAAGTGGGTGATGAGACGCCAGTAGGTTTTGGAAGCTGGGGGAGAGATCTGCAGGATCTGCTTCCCTTATGGCAAGACAGAAATGAAAAAGATCTGCTCTGCCAGGAAACACTGACCCTACAGTTAGGATAGGTGGGGCAGTAGTCCATCCAGAAGCAGCAGGCTTAAAATGCAAATTCCTCAAGCTAAATTTCAAGGAATCAGGATTCTGTTTATGATACCCTATCATGTGGTTGTCACAAAGCTTTGCATCTCTCCGAGGTCTCAGGCATTCCTGTGAGGCAGAGATTGTGAGACTTGCCCTTGCTCTCTCAGGTAGGCTCTTTCTGACAACTGGAGGAAACTGTCAGGGTACACCTTCTCTGCCAAGTTTTGACAGTACAAATGAAATGGCAACAGCCCACATAATTTAAACTTGAATATTTACTTTCATTATCACTATTAGCATAATTATCTCTATCCTCATGGGTGAGCTAATGTTTGAAGGTTTTCATTTATGCAATGAAGCCTACTTTCTACTGCTTCATGTCTGTATCATAATATAGAAATAATCCAAGAGTTACTGACAGAAATTATTTTAGGCTGGGACTATACAAAGCACAGGCGAGCAACTGGATCTTATTGGAAATGTAGAATTGCCACCCTTCCCCCAGATTTAAGAGATTAGAGTCTTCCTTTTAATAAGATCCCAGCTGACTGCATGTCACAGTGTGGTTAATAGCCTAGACAGTCATTATCCTGCAGATATTTGAGTCTTTAGTCATATCTGAATGAGAAAACAATACAATGTTGAGAAGAAAGACTGGAGAGGAGAAATGAGCTTGAATCTGTCCCTGTCACTTACTAGATGTATAATGTGAACCTATGATATAACTTCTCTAGTCCTAAATATTTTCTTTGGTAAAGGCAACACAGTAATGCCTCAAGGCCAAGCCCTGTTTGCTGGAGGGGACAAGTAATGACCTTGGTTTTACCTTTCACATTTTAAACCAGTAACAAGCAGGTAGTCTGTATTTTAAAATTTAATCTTAGTATATTTAAAAAGTTGCTTAAAAATTAGGGAAGGGTGTACTAGGGATTGAACCCATGTTCTTTGCACTGAGCTACACCCCCAGCCCTTTTCTTATTTCTGAGATAGGATCTCCCTAAGCCACCAAATTGCCTCAGCTGGAACTTGAATTTATAATCCTCCTGCCTCAGATTCCCAGAGTGCTGGGATTATAAACTTGCCTTTTCAAGAGACAGATGCCTTTTCTGACAGTGCTGTGCAGGAGCAGAAAGAAAGGGCATTTCCCTAATCCACCAGGAAAGTAGCTGACAAAAGAGGGCAGCTACTAAATAAACACTAAGAACTGATGTGCTCACCACTCTGAGTCATCACCACAGAGGCTCGGTGGGCATTTACCACTCCATCTACCATGAGGCAGGCTTTCTCTGTTTTTATATTCTCCTCCTTAAAGAGAATATAAAAGTCCTTAAAGTTCATTTTACATTTAGCGATTCTTTCAACAGGCACTAAATGACAAATCCACAGGAAGATAGGTGTCTCGCTGCCTATCAAATGATTCAGGAGCCAATGGCAAGGTTCCCTGCATGGCATCCCATTAAGAAGACCTGAGCCCTCATTTGAGCGTTATCAAGGTGAACTGCCAAAGTCCTCCTTGGTGAAGGAACTGTAGGTGCTTCTGCAGTGTTTCCCATCACAGGCAAAAGCTGCCACTGTCCCTTCTGAGCAGACAGTATTGTACTTGTGATCACCTTAATGTCCTCTTGGTGTGTGCTTATACAATTTATGTCAGTTGTTCTCATATAGAGTTTCATCCTTTTGGAGACAAAAGAAAGGAAGCCTTTTAGAGAAAACAAGAAAGGAAGCATCTTTATCACAGTGGTGGAAGGACAATCAAAAGGGGCAGGGTGAAAATCTGCTCCTGAGCCCTGGCAGCCATCTGAGACGGAAGGAGGGTGGCTGCTGGGCTGTCACTTGCTTTGTTGCCCAGACCTTGTGGCCTTCATGCTCTGAATCTCTGCAGCCAGTGGACAAGCATTCTTCCAGCGGGACACAGCGTTTGGTGACAGAGATGCTGTTTCCTGTGACTTCCATTGTGTGCTGAGTGTAGCAATATCGGGTCTCTGTCAATACAGAAAATATGCCTTAATTGAGATGGGAAATGTTAGCCTAGTTTGCCTAAAAGGAGCGTGAACACTCCAGTGCTTGCAGAGGTCTAACAGCACATAGGAGGTACAGGGCCACAGGCATAGGTCCAACCCCAAGCCCTCCCAAGAGATTTGCACTTTGCCATAGAAGGCCAGTCTTCCAGAGAAGAGTGGTCTTTCTGGCCATCATGATCCCTGCATGACAAGATACAGTGACATCACTTGTTGGTTTCGCACAAGTTTTGCCACTATCCTGATTTTTATTTGGGGTGGATGAGTGCTTTAAAAAACTGATTTAGGAGGTGATCTCGCATGGTTTCTTTCAGGAAGAAAGCACGGTGAAATGTTCAAAAACTCAAGGATAAAAGAAATAAAAGGCAGGTAAACAATGGCTGAAGATGCAAGACTACAACAAAGGCTGGTGTGTGTGTGCAAGTGTGCGTGCGTGCATGTTTGTGTGTATGTTGTGATGGGTATTACCACACAAGGCTAAAATGGATTCATTTTACCCGGAGACTATCCAAAAGGAAGAACATTTTGCCAATGAGAGCAGTTGGATTTGAGAAGACTAGGCTGCATTTGAGAAGACTTCACCAACTAGGCAAGTGCTCCAATGAGGAGCTTTGTCCCTCCTAGTATGATTTCTGTGTCTTCTTGAGGTGGCAGATGATGACCGTGATGGGGATTAACAGAGATTCTTCCATGTCTTATGAATCTGAAACCTTGCAATGTCTTCCAAAACAGAGAAACGTTTTGGCGGTAATTAAAAAACTTTAGAAAAACGGCTTTGTCAATGTAATGCTTTAAGGCCTCCAGGCAGTGTTCAGCTCTCTAAGCCTGGGATTTAGAATGTTCTGACTCTATTTTCACATTAAAAAAGAAAATGAATAAATCTTTAGAAATGTTGCTGAGCTATTTTTCATTCATATCTTAGACCCAATTTTGCATGCTTTATACATTTTGGATATTAGTGGCTAATATGGAATTATGACCTCCTGTGATATTATTTATTAGGCAATAAAAACTCCCTCTACCAGATTCTGTCATGATTTTGGCAGTTTCTAACCAAAGTACTAACGTTCCAAGAAGAAAGCTTAAGAATTTTAGGTCTTAAGAATGAGCTACTAACGACCACATTGACATATCTTGAGGGTCACAAAACTCAGGTGTTTTAATAGACTTCATAGACACCCAGCTGCACCTGACAGGGACCCTAACTGGCCTCTAGCTGAGGGTTATGCTGTGGTGGGTGTGCTGGGTAGAGCGGAGTCCACACCCTCCCTTACATGCTTTCTCTACATGGACCATGGTTATAATTTTGTTCATGGGAATCAGGTCAAGGCCTTCACCGCATTACTCAGGGTGCTATGGAACTCACTGGGAACAGCGTAAGTAAGGTCATTCTGGGAGTGAAGAGTTGAACATTTTATACCTGGGATGATTCTCCCAAAGCCCTAGACTATTTTAACATTGGAATAACGGCCTTCAAAAGAAGCAGCAGCAGTTCTTTTCTTTAAGGGTGTGGGCAGGTTTTGACAAATGGAAGCCAGTGGTCTGAGAGATTTACTTCATCATCTAGGGAGGACTGGTTTACTTCTTTAGTACACTCGGTGGACATTTATGGCCACAATAGGTACACCTTTCCCACCCCCACCACAATTTCAGATGCTCTGGAGGGCAATAAAAGCAGGAATGTTCTTATCTCCTGTCTCCTGTTCATCCAGGCAGCTAGGAGCAGCTGCCAGAGGTTTTATTGCTCCAAATGTAAATCTGAGCAGATAAGATCATACTCTCATGAAGTAAGTAAATCACCACAAGTTTCAGTTTGGAAAATTAGGTTTGGGCCCCAAGTAATGAATTATTTTGTTTTAAGTAAGCCTTAAAATAACAATTGCTGAACTTGTTATTACTACTTTTTATTCATACTTTTAAAATAACATGTTCCCTTATTAATTTCTAGATGGGAGCTTATTCTACTGAATGAAACTAGTGGCAACAGCTCGTGAAATTGTTTTTTCCAGAAAAATGTGTACATCCTAAGTACTCAATAGCCAATTCTTGCCCCTCGACGTGGAGAAGGGAAGTCAGTGAAGATTATGGGTAAGAAGTTTTTTTCTTATACTTCACCAAGTCTGATTCATAAAGACAAAGATAGATTGAGAATATTGTCTTTATTTCCATCAGTGGAGACCTCAGTTCTGAAGTATCAACCCTTCAAAAATATCTGCTTCATTTATCTTACAAAACCCTTAGGTGAGTTATGAAATGTTAATGTGGAAAAACATTCTGTAGTTAAATAAGTTTAAGAAATCCTCAAATAAAGTTAAACTGGTTTCTTCAGCGCCTACTTTATGAGGGCCTTTGCTATGCATTGTGATCTGTGATCTCCAAGGGTGTGTTCAGGAGAGCAGGTAAATTTCCCAAGCAGAGCTAGGCGGATGACATGTGGCTTATCACTGGACTGTAGGGGTGATAAAAACTGAGTGTCAGCCATAGTGCATTGTTTGCAATGCATTCTGAATAATCCTTGGGTTAGTAATGAGGTTATATGAGAATCAAGCCTGCTGATAACTTCACACTAAAAGGATTTCAAAGGCTTTTATCAAAAAGATAAAAAGACGGATTTGAATTTCTACAGGTTAATTTCAGCCACTAAAATCTCATATTCTGTAACTGCGTAGTATTCCCAGAAGTTGTGAAACAAGTCTTTGATTCACAGTAAAGTCAGAAAATGGGAGAGAGAGCTAAACCAACAATTGAAAACACAAAATATAATTGTCATAAAGTTCACACACAGAGATACACTCCATAATCTAGTTTTGAAATTTAAAACCAGTTCAAAGTTAAATGCACATTTTCACTGACTCACAATATTGTTTCCAGTAAAAGAAAGTGTATTTAAATAATAGCTATGCATAAGATGGTTTGAGTTACACAATACAAATGCTCATCTCTGATAAAATGCCTTCTCACCATTCAAGTATACTGTATGACTCTGGTGCTAGAAAACAATTCCCCAGGTGCAAGAAAATGAATGAGAGAAAAGAACTTTAATAATAATACTGCAAGTTACATTGAAAAGTAAAAGGCAAGGAAGCAAGAGGCATTATGGTAACCATTGTTGATAACCTTGTATTCTGTTTTTACATCATGTGCTATGTCTAGCCTTTGTTTTGATTGACTGCTTTGTTTTGTCATATTTGGTTTTATTCTCTTCCAAAAAAAAAGTAATAAGAACTATGGGAGTAATGAAACCCAAAATGTGTACATTTTGTTGTAAAAAAGAGACAAAAAAAAGTGCTCTAAAGGATACAATTGCAAGTGTGTTTAGGTGTGTTAAGATAGATGACCATATTAATGAGTTTTTGTTGGATCACTGAACACAACCATTTGCAGCCTCACTGTTTGAATGTCCACTTTATATGCTTTAATCCTATAACTTGAACAACTATTTTTAAGATGACAATATGTAATATATTAACTAGTGATTTCTTACCGTTTTTTTTTTTTTTTTGTAATTCTGTATTACTTGTGCTCTTACACTGTTTTGTGGTTTTTTTTTTCCTTTAAATAAAAATAAATCCAAAAGAAAAGTAAAGTAAAAGGCTAGTCACATCTGCCTAGCCATTGCCTGGCCTATATTCTTCCTGCACATAGCTCCTCATGTCTGTATGAGATGTCCAGGCAACGACTCTCAGTACCAAATGACATCTCATGTTGCTGTGAATTTGGAAGTGCGGCACATCTACACACCACATGGTCAGGACTGACATAATGGGGAGCTTTCTCTCATGACTGCCCAAAGGGGATGAAGGCCCTTCTTGCCCAATTTTGGTTCTTTGATAACCATCCTGGCAGAGAGCTTGGAGCACCTCATTGCAGAACCTCTTGTGGTTGGAAGTCTAAGCTCTCCACTCATGTAGGCTGGTGTGTGAAGGGCTACATTTTTAAATGAGGTAATTGACCAGATAGAACACTTATCATCTAAATTTTTTTTCTCTCTTTCTAAGCTCTTTTTAGCCCTCTGGCTGGAAAGAATAAAGGTTTTGGGGGTTTTGTTCATGCTTGTGGGATTTTAGGTTATTGACACCTTCAACTCTAAATCTCGAATATGTGAGATAAAGAGAATATCCAATAAATTCCTACTGTGTTCTTCATTGGATCCTGAAGTTCATAGCATCTCTATCATTTTCTCTCTCTCCCTTTCAGCATTTTGTTTTTATTTTTATTTTTGTTTTGTTTTTATTCATGGCTTTGTTTTTTTAATTGTACTTAATGAGAGGAATAGAAAGGTACTTCTGCTCCCTCTTTCCAGAAGTAGAAGTCCTCAGAACTTTTGAAATTTTAGAATAAATAATTCATTTATGGTAACTGTAGGATGTTTGCAGCGTCCACGCCATTTTCTGATTAGACACCAACATCACCCCCTAATTGTGACAAAAATGTTTCTAGACATTGACAAATATCCCCAGGGTGTGGAGAATCACTCCTGGTAGAGACTTACTGTTCTAGATTATAATATTGAGAATCAGGTTCATTCTTGTGTGTGCCAGCATGTCCCTCAACATGTAGCACAGGATCTGTACAGCACAGCAGATACCAAAGGTATGATGACCATGAATGGATATGATGGAATCATCTAGCCAAACATTTTACTCAAATAGGAACCAAATTAAAAGGTTTTAATTTAGCTCTATGTGTCTGTAACATCTCTTCCACATTTGTGTTTTGAAAGGTCTGATCCAATTTGAGAGTAAAATAGTAAGTACATTGCTACAAGAATTTTAATATAAACACTTGGAAAAGTATTTGTCAGGATCCACCAAGTATGTTCTATGAACCATAAATTCCACCTTTGGATATATATCCAATGTCAGGAAGAAATGAAGAATCTCGGCATGTTTATAGGACTACTGTACCAATGGAAACCAGAAACAACCAAGTGCTGAATGGCTGAATAAATGAATTATACCATG